ACCAACCCACCAACCCACCAACCCACCAACCCACCAACCCACCAACCCACCAACCCACCAACCGGCCACCAACATTCGCGCAATACGGATGGTGACCACACATTGGCGTAAGGGGTCAAGGTCATTTTACATGTGTTAGTTTGATTTCCTCATGCATCTCTGAAAATGTCCAAGAAGATAGAATGATAATAAAAGTGTGAACCTGGCAGCAACTGATCGAGAGCCTTTTACTCTTTTACATCGTTCATCCATCTTCTTCGCTTTTTATATCTTTCATATTGAATACACGCCATATATCCGTGAAAAAAAAAACCAACAAACAAACAAAGATGTATAGATTCCTTGAAGCACGTCTGAATGCAGCTCAAAAAGCGACCTGCACTAACAGGCCACGCGACCCTTAAAACGAGCAGTCGTGTGAAAACGAAGTGAAAAGAGCAGCTCAGCATTAATAAGAGGACGAAGGTTTAGCTCACAATGTTAACTTTAGGATTAATGACATTAAATATAAAATGTTCCATTTTATAAGGATATGTATGGGAAAATTTGCTGGATGGCAAAGCTTGCTATCTAGCATATTTTCCAATACAAATCCTTATAAAATATTGATCTGCTATTTAATACCATTTCACTTTTTTAGCTTGTTGTGGGGTGGTGAGTAATTTTAATCTAAGGGTCATGCGACCTGTTAGTGCAAGTCGTCTATTTGGAGGACATAATCATAGCTTTCCAATTCTCATAATATTAAAATTCTTTTTTTTTTTTGTCCTCCAAATTGAGCTGCTTCGACGTCACATGCAAGGAGCTTATAAATTTTCTAATGGACCTTTCTCAAAATTATCTTGGATGCGAGACTATAATCAAAATAAAAAAAACACACACCTTTTCTCGATGGAATTTGTGGGATTTCTTTTGTATTTCCATGTAAGCTTTACTTGCTATTTTGCACTGTTGCAGAACATTGGAAGCAAAAGCAAATACCTCTACGCGTCTTTGTTTGGTTCATGCCTGAGTGAACTCTAGCTATTTTACAACTAAATAGTTGATAACTAATTTTATCACGGTTTGTATTCCTTTTTGTTTCTCGAATCTAACTTAGATTGTGCTTTTGCATTTGGAATGGGAGTTGATTCGAGGAAGATCCCAAACTCGGCGATAACTGCGTCTTCAACGTGGGGTTCTGGGGGACACGAGCCTTGGAGAGGACGGCTTAATAACTACCCCGTCACCACACCTTATAATGTTGGTGTTGATGTTGGCTGTTGGTCAGCCAGGTCTAATACTGTAGGACAGTACTTACAGGTGGATTTGGGTCACGTGGTATACGTTACTATGGTAGCAACACAAGGAAGGCCATACTCTCATGCGCAGTATGTGAGAAAATACAGCCTGGCTTACAAAAACAGCGACAACTCGTTTGTGGATTACAAAATAGCAAACATTGTAAAGGTGAGTTAGAATATGAGATTTCCCCCAATACTATATACTCACTGGAGAACTTTAGTATATGTACTAAAAGACTGGAACCATTGGTTAGAATTGTGGTCTTGTTTTTTTGATCGGAACCATTAAGAAAGTAACATTATATATATTTACTGAGGTAAATCTAAGATAGGGCATTGCAGAAACAACCTCTGGGCTGATCTAAGTCAGCGTACAGCTAACTCACAGATGGAAACCCGATACGACCTCTGGGCTGATCTAAGTCAGGGCACGGCTAACTCACAGATTGAACCCTGAAACACCCTCTGGGCTGATCTAAGTCAGCGTACAGCTAACTCACAGATTGAACCCTGAAACAACCTCTGGGCTAAACAAGGTCAGGGCACGGCTAACTCGCAGATGGAACCCTCAAAAAACCTCTGGGTTGATCTAAGTCAGGGCACGACTTACTCACGATGGAAACCCGATACGACCTTTGGGCTAATCCAAGTCAGGACACGGCTAATGAACTCACATATGAATTTTGCGGGGGGAGGACAACCGGTAACCTCTTTAAAAAAGGGAGAAGCCCAACAATTTCTACTTAGATTTAAAGATGAACAATGGATATTATGAATATTATAAATAATATAAATATTATAAATAAATGATATATATATTAATAGACAAATTGCTTTTGGATAGATCTTTCAGGGGAACACTGACTTATCAACGATCGTAACCCACAGGCTTCCCGACAAGATAAAAACCCAGTACATCAGATTTGTTGTCAGAGAATGGTATGGCCATATTTCAATGAGAGCCGAAGTCTATGGATGCCAAATTCCTGTCTAATTATGGAAACCCAGGTGTAATGGGTTGTGGTTGAAGTTTGTCTCGCTGCCTCCCCCCTCCCCAAATGTCGTAAATTTCGTAAATTAGCTGAAGTTGTTACCTTGTCGAAATAAACAAGATTTTAAAGGCTTTATCTATCTTATCTAAGACTTATCTCTCTGTTGTGCAGCATTCTTTTAGATAGTTTAACTTTGGATGTTGTAAAGAAGAAAAAATGACAAAGCAAAACAAAATAAAATATTATGTATATAACGCGCGCGGATGTCCCTGTACTGTGATATGCTGGGAGCTATAGAGCAAGAGCCCCTTAATTGTTACTGCGCATACTCGACGAAATATTTATTTCGAGGCGTAGCCTAGTGTTTCTTTTGCTCCCAGGGTGTTTAAACCAGGTAGTACCATTCTCGTACCCAAGCCTTACTCATTAGCCAAATCGTAGGTTCTGGGAAACTCTAATGGACCGGAAACCAGACTCTTGCGACCAAGTCACATGAACGCATGCTCCGTTAGTCAGTCTGCTATCCTTACATGCCGCCATAATCTAGTATAATATATTATATTAACTGTGAGCAGTTGGATCATACACCGGCCGTGTTTCCAGGCTTGAATTGCTTTTCTTAGCTTATTCGCATTTAAATTTTATGGCTAACTCACCGGCTCCACTTAGACATGACTCCCAGATATCAGAAATGCAGGTAAATATAGTTGGAATGAATTTATACTAACACATTCCTAATGATGAGGGCCTTCGTGCCCTTCAGCATTTTTTCGATCTTCGTCCTGTCCCCGAGTCTAGCACTCCCACTTTGTTACGCTTAGCTGAACTTGTTTTTACTCTTAATTGTTTTTCTTTTGGTGATCGGTGTTATCGGCAGGTAAACGGTGTTGCTATGGGTACTAAAATGATCGACCCTGGTTACGCCAATTTGTTTGCTGGTTATATCAAAAAACTTGTTTTTCAACAGTATACTGGACCTAAACCTGAGATTTTGAACGGTATATTGATGATTATATTGGTCTACTTCTTGTTCTCGTAATGACTTAGATTCTTTCGTGTCTTTTGTTAACTCTTTTCACCCTGCCTTAGACTTTATGTGGGAGGTTAGTGAAACATCAGTCACTTTCCTTGACATCTTGCTYAGTGTTAATGACGACCGTCTTAGCACTAGTGTCCATTACAAACCTACTGACTCTCATTTTTATTTACTCTACTCGTCTTCTGATCCTAAGCACACTCTTAACGCTATTCCGTTCTCGCAATTGCTTCGTCTTCGTCGTTTGTGTATAGTGATGATCTTGATTTTTCTGTTAAATGTTCTGAGATGCGTTCTTTCTTCCTTAAGCGTAATTATCCTGCTCATGTTATTGATCACGCCATGCCATCATCTTTTCATCTTTTCACGGTGTATAATTTGTCTTTAAATTGTTTATTTTTGTTTCCTGGCCTACCTTGTTTTCATTGGTTTATTTTGTCTTATTCTATCATATAAACACTCCTTTCTACCACCTCTTTCTCTTTTACTCCGACGAAGGACTAGCGTCCGAAACGTAAGTACGTTTTTTCATCTTTTCACGGTATATAATTTACCTTTTTATCATTACTGTTACAGTTATACAATTATGCTAGAGTTTATAGTCATGGTAAATTAAACTTTCCTAAGTTTAAGTTCAGTGACATCTCATTTTGTGTCCTAATTTTCCCCAATTTTACTAAACATCGCTTGACGAATACTAGCAGTTTGCAATCGAAACTTCGTTTTCCGTTTCTACAAATGGCCCTCAATCGTCAGAAAAATGAATAGGTATCAATTATTACAATTTCCACGATGAATCATATTTGCTATTCTAGTCTAGCAAGAGAGAATTCTTTTCGTATTCAAGCAGTGAG